AACCACAGCACTTCCAGTGGATACATGATCAGAGTTAGCCTCTGCTGCCAGTGTCAGATTCCAGCTGCCAGCGCACCGTACACTGCAAGAGCCCATGACTTGAGACAAGTTGCACATATACTTGCTCTGAGTCCAGTTCGCCAAATGGCCTCAGCTCGCAAAGAATTGCACAAGTAGATTGGGAGACCTCCTGTCAAGCAAGCCGCGTTCGTTGGGCGCACGCAAGTGCCATGATGGCACACAAGCCTGCCGCGATTGACAACGTGTATGCTTGCTCCACACCCGCTCCGGCCATCTCAGCCAAGTTACAGGGCAAGGCCCCTATGAGTGAGAGGTCGTTTACACCTGAGGGCGAACTTCTAATACAGCCCAGCTCCATGCTGATACAGTAAGGCTCAGAAACATGGCAGATACCTTTTTGAAGCTGTGCCGAGCGGCCATGGATGTCTAGCGTGGCTAAGTTGAGAGCCAAAGCTTGGAACACCAAAGCGCAGACCTTACGGCAATAAAGTTGCGAAGACTTGGGAGGGACATGCCGGATGTCCAGGGATCTGGCAACAGCCACATAGGGTGCATTGATCTGTACCCAGCATATGCCTCAACAAGCTTCGGGGATTCACAGCACTTAATGGCAACAAATCCTGAGTCTTAGCCACAACCAGGCGACGGGGTCTAGCAGATTCTACCGAGCCAACACTTGTTTCAAAAAACAAGCAGTCCTCAAAAACCTCTTACTCAAGCCTCAGCGGTACCAGAAACATGTTCATGTGAAAGCACAAGCGGGTTTGTTTGGCAGGCAAATAATCAAATCCAATCATAATGAAGCACCTTGGGGCAGTGGCACATATGCTTTTGCTAGAGCAGCAAGTGCGGCAAGTGCTGGTGAGCTGCCCAGAAGATAGTAGGAGATGCCCTGGAGCATCATCCTCAATGAGGCAGATCTTCGGAAACTCAGCCCTACGCACTTCTTTGACAGTCAGGCACGCGCCTCACGCCCAGAGACATGCAGACTCGCCTGCAGGTAGGGTAAAACGGCACGGCTTCCTGCACTGAGATGCTTCCTGCATCTGAGCTACGCATACGCATCGTAGCACTGCCAAAGCGCTTGCAGCCGTCGGAAAAGCTGGATGTGGCGCTGTGTACGATGGTGGACCTTTGATCGCGAGTCACAGCTTCTGGAATGACCCGACGCAACCGGAGTTCCATGAACAGGTGGCTACCAAACTGCCAGCCAGAAACCGCCTTCATGATGTCCTCTTCATAGCCAGCCACGTCCTTTGCTTTAATCTAGTCAGGACAAACATGGCAGCATGCTCCTGCTGCTTCTACTACTGCTGCCACCACCTAACACTCCTACTGCTTCCTATAACTACTGGTGGCGGTACTAGTGTCGGCACTAGTTCAAGCAATGGTTCCTCGATCTATCTACCCCTGCAGCAGTAGCAGTAGCAGTAGCAGTAGCAGTAGCAGCAGCAGCAGCAGTAGCAGTAGTAGTAGTAGTAGTAGTAGTAGTCGTAGTAGCAGGAGTAGTAGCAGCAGTATTTGCAGTAGTAGCAGCAATAGCAGTAATAGCAGTAATAGCAGTAGCAGTAGCAGTCATAGCATTAGTGGAACAGCAGTAGTAGAGGAGGAGTAGCAGTAACAGCTGCAGCTGCAGTAGTAGTAGTGGCAGCAGTAGTAGCAGCCAAGGAAGAGGCACGGCTACAACTTGTCATAGCTCGTGAAGTGCAAGCTGCCAGCTTCATCAGTCCGCCATAGGCCCAAATTCCAGCTCCCAGTTCGTCCGACGGGGCTGACAAGCAAACTCAGTCTCTGCTTACAGAATCTGCGAAGTGCCAATAATGACGAGGATGAAGATGATGATCATGCTGCGGCTTTTGCTGCACACAAGGGTTTGCGTGGTGATTCCTTAAGCCAAGTACCAAAACTGATGACAAGAACAAGCCTACAACGACCTTATGCAGCGAGCCTTCTTGCTGTATTTCGAGCTTTGGCCGGTCTTGCCAGTTGTTGTTCGCCTTCCACGAGGCTAGAGATGCGATTGCATGTCCTGCCTTTGTGCTGGGCATCCCTGGCGATCTCTGGCTCACTTCGTCCTATCACGTGTTTTAACAGGCAGGCACCTTGGTCAGGAACGGTATTCGCAGCATCCTTGGCTGGACAGCATTGCAGTGGAAACGGGAGCACCATGATCAAGCTGCATATCACTCTTAATGCCAACATCATGAAAAATGTGCTACATCTTCTTAATGCGCTGAGCTTCTGGTTGCCTTGCCTCTCGAAGTCTGCAAATCGTGCATTCAAAACCTAGCAGCTGCACAAATATGGGCTTTAGGCGACACATGTTCCTTGATATGACAATATGGAGAGATGTTGCGCTGCAGCAAGTAGCATTTAATTGCGAGCTTCCTGGTATAGGCAAACGAATAAATCGGGTAAGGACGCGCGTGGCGTAGCCTCGGCTTGCGTGGTTCTGACACAATCTTCAGGCTTCCAGGAGAACTCTGGATCCTCTTGATGTCTGTCAAGGGGCTGTGTGAAGTCACGGAGGCGTGCATGGATAGCCACACAGCCATGATGAGGTACACAACCGAGGATCCCTGACGAATTGCAGAATCAAGCTCTTTCTTCTTTGACTGGTTGGCACTTTTCTTTTCAAGAAGCCTTTTGTTCTGCATGTCCAACGCTTCATGACGCAACCTACCCCTACGAATCTTGGTTGTCGTTGCCACTGTTGCCCTGCGGAAGAGTCCCCCCCTTCTTGCCACTGCTGCGACGACCGCAAGCGCAAGCACTCCGTTGCTGCCTGCGAAACATAGTAGTAGCCTGCAGCTTCCAAAGCTCATGAGTGCAGCACTGCATGGTCAGATCGCGTTCACATCTTGGACGAAAAGCCCAGCAAGCAGCTACAGATTACCTGCACACAACTTGGTGCACGCACGCACTCGGTGCTGTTATTGCAGCCATAGGACAAAGGAGAAAGGGAGGAATTCCTTCCTCGAAGAAGCCTTCACAGAAGTAGATACAAATCCTCAGCCAACAAGTCTCGGACGCAAGCATCAAAGCTGCATCTACTGAGGCTTCAAACAGCTGTGTTAAGTCCAGTCGTCATCTTGATAAACAATGCCCCCACGAGATGGTACAGGTTCATCTTGCTTGTAGTCATCTCAACCTTTGCGGTGCCAGGAGAGCATCATTGCTATCACAAATGGCATTGCATGAGCATAGTCTTTGTCCAGACACCAAGTCTCTGATATCTTCGCGGAAAAGGTTAAACAGCTCAACCTGAAGCATATGCATCAAGTCACATGCGAGCCGGGCACGAACAGGAGCTGCACATGATTTTTCTTGGCGTCCCTTTTGGCGCACCTGCATCTTGACACGTACTTCGTCGCGGCTGAAACGCTGTTCCTTTCATTTTGCATGTCAGACAGGTCGCCCAACAACTCACGCGTCGCAAGCCATTAGGTAGCAGCACGGCTTGTGTCATGTAAAGTGCGTGTATGCCTGGTCGAACTCAAAGTTTTCGCGGTTGTATCGAAAAACCTTTCGGGACGATTCGCACCAACGAAACTTCTTGCAACCCTAGCACAGTCAATAGAGCTATAGTCTGAACTCCTAGTATCCACCTCAATAACCCCTTTTGTAGTCCCCTACAAAATACCTTATATAACTTTAGATTATAGTACATCTGCATCCACGGCCTCAGCTCCCGCCAGGCCCATGGCCGCCATGAGCTCCATGGCGGGCATTTCCTTTGTCGCTCATGCAGACTGCTTGGAATAGGGATACCTTGAAGGGGGATATGGGGGTTATATAGGGTTATATGGTGTTTTATTAGGGTTTAGGGTTTCCCGAAACTAGGGATACCTTTTGGGTGTCCCCAGAACAGGGATTTAGTATCTTAGGGTCTATATTGGGATGCCCCTATTTTGGGAAACTACCTGATAGGTCACGCTATACAAACGGTGTGCCAACAGGTCCTATGGTCCTTCTCAAACTATGATTCTGGAACCACAGTATGTACTAATATGTCAACGAGGCTTACCCATGAACCTCCAAGCGTGTGTACAGTGTATGTGCAAATCACATTTTCTGAGGCTTGCAAAACACACACATGGAAGATGAACCTGCAAACTAGTGCGCAGGAGTAGATCGGGCACCTTATATTCAAATCTTTGCACGCATGTACGCATGTTCGCATGCATGCACGCACGCGCGTACGTATGTACTTACACATAAGTATGTATGCCTGTGAGTCCCTTCCCCCTGCTCTTTCCCTTCATCTCCACCCCGGCATCCTGAGCAAATTCCTGACACAACTGGCTAAGCCTCCACATCGCAGGTTTCAAGCCAACTCAGGGTAAGCGCCATTTAGCTGTTGCGTCACAAGAAACACAGCAGGAGTAGTCAACATGTCACGCATTTGACGCCCGCAGGTACTGCCTGCGAAGGTGATCACAAGCACCCATGCCATATCTCCAGTCGGAGGCTTGGCCATACTCGCCACTGCCACTACTTCCAGCCTGCTGTGCAGCTATGTCCTTGCAGCCATTAGGCGGGTGCTTCCTCCCTCTCCCTATCCCGCGGCAGTAGCCTGTATGCAAGTGTGTATTTGTTTGTACACATGTCTGTGTGTGCATCTCATGAAACATCCTTAGAACGTTTGCAACGCAGCTGGGGCACGGCCACTCAGGCGGCTGGCAAGCAAAGGCTTGCCAAGGCAGAAGGCAGTGAGTCTCGATGGCTTTGAACGAAGTAGAACCACAAGGTTGTCTCCAAAACATGACAGGTACATAGGACCCCAAACTACGGGGATCCCGATTGAACTTAACAGCACATGCTCGGACAATGGCCTGCATGCTGTACAATCCTGTCGTAGCTGAACCATATGTGCAAAGCTGCAGCCAAATGTTTGCAGAACATTGAAGTCGCTCACAGAGTCACAGAGAAAGACATGTGACATGTGCTCCGCAAATCTCAAACTCTGGCCGCAAGACGGCCCCAAGTGCGGCCATCATAGCCACTCTTCCGTGCTTGATCTCAGCAGCCTCACTGCAACACCACCAGATTTCGTTATGCTTCCATGATAATTACTCGCAACAGCCCGCTAGCAGTAGTCTCCACACCTCTACCCCCAAAGGAAAAATCACTAGAAGCACCTGAAAGCAAGGGCCTAACATTTGCGTTGCGGAACCTGCAAATTGGACTTTATCGAAAAAGCTCTCTAAAAGTCCACAAAGAAAAACAATGCCTGGAAAGCCTCAACTAATTCCCAGGTTGTGAAGATGATCGCGCCCAAAACCTAAACCCGGCACGCAACTCCACGAGATCTAAAAGGGTCCCACAACAAGGGCACTCGTAGACTGAGAAACTGTCATAACAAATCCTTGGTTCTGGGCACGGAGACTCTGGAAGCCATCCTTGTCTCCAACTTTGCTGAAGCCTGTCCAGACTGTGTAGAGTTTAGGCTTTGGGGCTCAGCCTCTTGTGGGCTAAGGGCTTAGGGTCTAGCGTGCTTGGCAACTTAATGCGCAGCTACCTGTTTGCACTGTTTCTCAATTCCTCGAGTCTTTCAAGTCAAGGGGTCGTTGTAATGACACTTCGTCTATCGTGTTATATACCAGCGCACCCTCATTAGGGAAAACCCGGTTGGTACACCTAGGCCAGCGTCAGGCGGTGGGCAGATAAGCAGGAGTCAGGCAGCATCGCTACCTGCTGGATCGAAGAAGCCCAGCGGCCTTCAGCCGACTGAAGAATGTTACAACGGACACCGGTACCTAAATTATAGTAGGTTATGCTTTATTACAGAATATTATGGCATGTTGTATACTATATTCTCATTCAAGTGCTACCACAAAGACTACTTCCTACTCCGCAGCCC